ATAAAGGCTATGTTAACCAGTTTGATGAAAATATTTCAAATTGTATATGAAAACACCACACTGTACCCCATGATTGCATTAATGTACACAGCTATCATTTAACAAAAAAAGGAACTTGACCTAACCCTCACATCTTACACAAAATCTTTACATTATGAAAATAAACTTAAAATTTATTATAGATCTACAAGTAAAATGTAAAGCTAAAATTCGTATAAGAAACAAAAAATTTTGGTGATATTGAGTTCTTAGATATGACACGAAAGCACAATTTATAGAAGAAAAATTTGAAATTTGATGTCATCAAAACACAAAATGTTCCATCAACGTCACTCTAAGAGATAAAAAGATAAACTGCAAATGGGCAGCAAATATTTACAAATCATCCTATCTAACAAAGAATTTGTATCCATAATATGTAAAGTACTCTCAAAACTGAATAATAAGAAAATGACCCAATTAAAAAATAAAGTAAAAGATTTGAACAGAAGTCACCACAGGAGATATACAAATGGCAAATAAGCACATGGAAAGATGAGCAACATTGTTGCTCATTAGGGAAATATACATTAAGACCGCAAGGAGTTATAATGCGTCTATTGGAGAGATCTGATAAGTTTTACAAACTGACAATACCAAGTGTGGTGAGGATGCATTTCTAGTGGGAGTACAATGGGGCAGCCCCTCTGAAGAACACTCTGGCAGTTTCTTACCAAGGTAAACACGTATTTACCATATGACCCAGTCATATCACTGCTAGGTATTTACTTGAGGGAAATCCAAATTTACATTCACATAAAAATCTGCACATGGATGTTTATAGAAGCTGTAGTCCTAATAACCAAAGATTGGAAATGACCTAAATGTCCTTCAGTGGGTGATGGATAGACAGACTATAATACAGCCATACAATGGGATATTAGTTAGCAGAAGAAGAGGAACAAACTATCGCTACATGCAACAATGAGAACAAATTTCAAACGCTGAAGCTGTAGAAGAAGCCAGTCTCAGAATACTGCCTTCTATACAATTCCATTTACATGATGTTCTGGGAAAGCAAAGGAAACTGTAGGGACACAGAACAGATTAATGGTTGTCATGGGTTAGAAGGGGAGGGAAAGGTTGGACTAAGGGGGAGCACCATTTGGGGACACATAATCTGATTGTGACAGTATTTGTGAACAAGAGATATGTTAAAGTTAAGAGTAGGTCTCCTATTCACTTCAACTTTCAACTCCATTCCCTTTTCCGCTGTGGCCACATCTCTGACAGTTTTTAATTTTAGCTTTAACTTGTTAGCACTAAAACAGAAAATAATAGAGATAGAAGTCTATTATTAGAATGACGTCTCTTAATGTATAAATGGTAGAAATAAACTTACACTTGCTATCTCTCCTCACCTCCAGTTTGTTCCACATGGTTAGTATTTATCATATGTATGTTTCTGCATTTTCTTGTTCTGGGTTGAGTCTAAATAATAGATCAATAAATAGTATTTGCAATATGACCATATAACTATTATTCACTGTATAATAAAACTATAATCAGGGGCAGGCATGATGACTCGCACCTGTAATTCTAGCAGTCTGGGAGGTGGAGGCGGGAAGATACCTTGAGCTCAGGAATTTGAGACCAGCCTGAAGAAAAGTGAGACCCCCCTATTGCCACTAAAAATAGAAAAATTAGCTGTGTGTTGTGGTGGGCACCTGTGATCCCAGCTACTTGGGAGTCTGAAGTAAGAGAATCTCTTGAGCCCAAGAGTTTGAGGTTGCTGTGTATACACATCTTAAGAAAGGAAATGACTGTATTAAAACTGTAATACTCAATATAAACCCATAACGCTTATTATCTTGCATCGTGTATCTCTTGTAATTGCAGAAGTCAAACACGACTTGAGTATTACAATTTTAATACAGACATTTGCCACAATGCCTGGCTAGTTTTTCTATTTTTAGTAAAGATGGGATCTCACTCTTACTCAGGCTAATCTTGAACTCCTAAACTCAGGCAATCCACCCACCTTGGCCTCCCAGAGTGCTAGGATTACAGATGTGAGCCATAGCGCCTGGCCTAAACACATTTTTTTAGACATGTTCTCATGAGTGAGTGAGCAAGGGCAAGCCTAGGGTTGCCTACTTTTCTGCCTTTATTCTTTTTTTTTTTTTTTTTTT